GTGCCCATACCATGCGCGACCCTCCCATTTTAATATCATCCCCTGCGGACGCCTGGGCGCCGTGTAAGGGCCTCTTAAAGAAGTATGCAAATTTTTTGGCGGGAAAGCGATCCCGGGAACCACACGAGCTAAGGGGCTAAAACTTTGTAGGGATGTTCCCTGTGCATGTACTACCTAAAGATTTCAAATTCAACCCCCAGGTATGCGTGGTACCCACGTAAGAGCGTATGAAAGTTTTAGGGGAAAAATTGCTAACTCGAGTACCAGGAAAGCTAGAAGGCTGAAATTTTACGAGAATATCCCCTTTTCAAGTACAACTTAAATATTTCAGATCCAGCCTTCAGGTATGCGTAGTACTCACGTATGGCGTATGAAAGTTTTAGGGGAAAAATTACTAATTCGGATACCAGAAAAGCTGGAAGACTGAAATTTTCAGGGAATGTTCCAAACACAAGTACGGCATAAACCTGTCAAATTCAGTCCCCAGTCGTACATGGTTCTCATGTATGACCCCGTGAAACTTTTTTGGCAGGTAAATGACTAACTCGGGAACCACAAAAGCTGGGAGTCTGAAATTTTAAAGGGATGTTCTCAGCCTGCATACTACTTAAAAATTCCAAACCCAGCCCCCAAGTATGCTCTTAGGTCACGTGTGGCCCTGTGGAAGTTTTGGCGGGAAAATTGCTAATTCGAGAACCAGAAAAGTTGGAAGGCTCAGACTTTGAAGAATATTCCCCGTCCAAATAAGCCTTAAGTCTTCAAATTTAGTCTTCATTTACGCGTGATTCTCGTGTACGGGCAGTTAAATTTCTGGCGGGAAAATTACTCATTGAACAGTTGGGTTATTTTCAAAAAACATCGCTAAACGGAATTAGTTTATTTCTTTCTATGCAAAATTTACGATGATTTTCGGCATTAAGCACACAAGATAGGTGTGAAGGAACAACCGTTCATACAATTAACCTAATTCAAGTTTTGTGCAAAAACGCATGATCGCACTGGCTCGCCTGGTGCGTTTCAGCCTGGGTTTTAAAGCATACGTAATTAAGTAGAATGGTTGCTACATGCGTCCATCAAAATACCACTAGGACAGCACAAAGTCGTAGAATGACGGCATCGATTGCCACGTGACAACTCCAAGCTACTTTATCTAGGGCTAATTGTTTTCAGCTTTTGTTTTGACGCTCGCTAGTTATTAACGCAGCACTGCTCAGAGTTTTTCACTGACTTCACAAACTCTGTGTTTTAGTACATGCATTGAAGACAACACAATCTCATGGTTGTTAAAG